CCCACACCTCAACAAAAAAAAAAAAAAAAAAAAAAAAAAAAGAGAGAGAGAGAAAGAAAGAAAGAGAGAGAGAGAGAGAAAGGATTCTCAGTGCAGAAGGAACAGCTAAAGATTAGAGCATCTGTAGGTAGGCACTAAAAATAAAAACGAAGTTATAGAGGGGATTGGAAGCAATACTGCCTGAAAGTGTTGATGGAGAAATCACAAATTCCTATCAGAAAATTCCACCTTCTCATTTATTGATACCCCCTCCTCCACCTACCTCTTCACCCTCACCCCTCTCCATTCCATTAAATTAGGTTAGGTTTTCAGAAAACTGTTTAATTCTAATCATGATAACCTGGTATTTATTTTTGGAGAATCACTTGCAAACAAAATGGAAAGACAGAATTTAAAAATTATGACCACAAATATAAAAACAACTTTAAAATGTGTATTTAGCATCTAACTCTCCAAATAAAAATATACAAATCTAAGAAAGTGCTAAGTGAAGAAAAATGAAAATTAAAGGTATCTACTACTAAGCTTAGACACCCAAATCATCTAACAAACCTTTACTGAGTACTTTGTTATTTTCTTTTATATTTTATTTTAGAGACAGGGTCTCACTATGTTGCCCAGGCTGGAGCCCAGTGGTGCGATCATAGATCACTGCAGCCTGGAACTCCTGTGCTTGAGTGATCCTCCTGCCTCTCAGCCTTCTTAGTAGGTAAAATTACAAGTACATATCTCCACACCCAACTAATTTTTAAAACTTTTTGGAGAGATGGAATCTAATTATGTTGCTTAGCCTGGTCCCAAACTCCTAGCCTCAAGTGATCCTCCTGCCTCGCCTCCCAAAATGCTGGTATTGCAGGTGTGAGCCACCATGCCTAGCCTACTGAGCACTTCTGTAAGGCATTCCAGTGCCTACTTTTTGGTATACAGGTTGAGTATCCCTTATCCAAAATATTTATTAGAAATAAATATTAAACCAAAATATTTATTAGAATAATGGCTATAAGTTAACCTAATTTTTATAGGATGGCCAGATTTATTAATAAGACATTAACAGGATCCTATAATTTATTATAGGATTCATTAATATATTTACAAATATTCCAAAATCTGAAAAACTCCAAATCCCTCAAGGGATCAGAAGTGTTTTGGATTTGGAGTTTTTTCAGATTTTGGAATATTTGTATAAACATCATGAGATATCTTGGAGATAGAACCCAAGTCTCAACATGAAATTCACTTATGTTTCTTTCATATACATCTTATATATACACAGCCAGAAGGTAATTTTATATAATATTTTTAGTAATTTTGCATATGAAGCAAAGTTTTGAATGTGTTGGGACTGTGACCCATCACATAAGTCCACGTGTGAAATTTCCCACTCGATGTGTCATGTCAATGCTCAAAAGTTATTCCCTAGTATCACTCTTGTACTACTCCAAACCTTTAATGGCTTTAAACAAAAGAATTACAGCAGTACAGCAAACCCCGAGCCTTTTCCCTTGGGTAAGGCATTATTTCACCTAGAACACCTCCAACACTGCCAGGACCTAATCAGGTCACCACAACCCCCGGAGGTGGAAAAAATGGACTCTCATTGCTTTTAGTCAGAAACTACTCTAATTTGGGTGCATTTCAGATTTTTGGATTAGGAATACTGAATCTGTACTGATAGCTCCTGTTACACATGTCATAACAGAACAGGGAACAAACCTTCATGAATTGAACTTCTCAAGGGCAGGGTGTTATCTTATTCATTCTTGTATTATTAGTATTATTTTTTTGAGATGGAATTTCACTCTTGTTATCCAGACTGGGGATTATAGGCATGTGCCACCACGCCCGGCTAATTTTATACTTTTAGTAGAAATAGGGTCTTTCCATGTTGGTCAGGCTGGTCTCAAACTCCTGACCTCAGGTGATTCACCCACCTCAGCCTCCCAAATTACTGGGATTACAGGCATGAGCCATGGCGCCCGGCCGTTCTTGTATTCTAACATGCTTTGTACCTAGAGAATGGAAAATGTCAATAGATGCTTTTAAATGAACATTTACTGTTGAGGATCCTAAGTTTACTTTTAGAGCTCAGAGCACACATCAGAAACATCATTATAAAGGTAGTCAGAGTATCTGACCTTCCTATAAAAACCAGGTTAACTTATAGCCATTATTCCAATAAACAAATGAACTGTCCTTTATAACATAGTATCTTAGGTATGAAAAAATGAGTTCTGAGTGGTAAAAGCCTGCTATTTCTCTCTCTCGTACACACACACACACACACAGACACACACACACACACACACACACACACACACACACACACACACA